CCGACCTTTTCTAACCCGTCCTTCCTCGGGGGAAGGCAGCATCGCTGCTTCCATAAATATGGACATGCTGGTCGCCTGGGGGAAACACCTTACTGCCTTCACACTCCTGTCGCAGAGGACAGTACGACTTTACCCCCAGACCGCCTCGTAGCACGAATACTCGTAGTACGGGGTCTCGCTACTCTTGGTCTGGCTATTCCCCTTTGGCCTTCCTGGCATGGTTGTACCTTGTGGAACGAAGTTCCAGCCAGTGTAGCCCGCGGGATCATTGCAGCACTCAAGCCCGACCACCAAGTGAAGGTGACGGCTTTAGGTCGGGTCGTCCTTATACTATGGTTAATTTGTTTGCAACGACACGATTGGCTCATCAGCAACCCAAGCTTATGCGTATTTTGTTAGCTCGTCTAATTATAGCATTCGTGTTTGCATGCAGTTCAGCTGCATCAACGCTGAAGACGTTTGCACTGTAGCTATGACAGTCATTGAGTATATACATTCTACGTTTTGCGTTTTACACGATGGCCTGGTCCTCAATTTTTCTCCCTAGGCTGTTTTTTTCAGACGTTCATTTGGTAGGAAAATTGGTCCCAATCAAAGTCAGGGAGTGCATGTTTCTCTTGATTATTTGGCCAATATTACCGTTGCATTCTTCCCTCCAAACACAGTCGTGCTGATACAACGGTGGAAAGTGTCGTAGAAGTTGCCGGTTTCGCCTAATTGATTCGAGAGCGATCCATAAGCAACACGGTTGTGATTGTTAAACCTTTTAAAATAAACTTTTAGGATGTACTCAAACTAGAAATTCTTCAGATATGATCGACGGAGTACGTATCTGTCCCATGGTCTTGTGTTACTGGCCAAAGTTAATTGTATAAATGGGGTTGAAATCTCTTCCCTGACAAGTCAATACATGACTGACACGATTACCGCTGCTGTCATTGCCAAAATTAACGAACATCAGACGGTTGTTGACTTGATTCGCAAATCCTGTTCGTGTTGAGGTGGACAGCCCTTCTACACTCCTGTTACCTTCTGCTGTAGCTTACCTTTTCCCTCAGCTGTCATTCCAGAAACTGGCGTAACTTAATCACAGGTTTTTCGTCGCAAAATGTCTGAGCTGTTTGACTAAACATAACTAAAAACCGACTAGAGTGCTTTAAGCGTTCTTCCGGAATTGAAGTCTCAATACTTATCCCATTTAGTCATATATGCTGCACACTGCGCGAAATCAACACCAGTCCGTTTGTCTCTATCCTATTGACGTTGCTGCTTATGCTGTTTTCTTGTCTTCCTTCGTTGTTCTCACCAGAGAATGTCAATTCATAGCTCGGCTGCGCTGCACTACTGTTCAATATTGGTGCTGCCGTTCACGATGCTGAGGTTCGAAAGGTAATCGGTGCCGATGCTGAGCATAGAGCCTTATGGGTTCTTTTAGCTGCTCGGATACTATAGATACCTCTTGCACATTCCGTGGACTGATACATTCTGAAATCGCAAAGTTACTAGTGAAATCACGCTCTCTGGTGCTAGCTTGAGTTCAGTACCTTGTAGTTTTATCTCTAGTTTTAACCATGATATTTTCCGCACTCACACCCACTTCCTTTTCACTGAATTTCCATCGACAGATATGGAACATTGCCAGTTCGTGGTGTTGTGGTTCGGTCAGAGTTCCTGGGAGTGCACGTTCAATGCCAAAAGAATCGGATTCATCCAACCTGACAAAAAACCAGTCTACAGGTGCTCCTTGGATATCTGCTTGTTGGTTCCCAGAAAAAACGGACAATCCGGGCAGAAATATAGTTGTATCCGGTCTTCGAGGTGAATTGTATAGCTGGTCCGATTCGTCACAGCTGGTTCGTTTACACACCGAGAACCATGGTCACTCAATGCTTGTTTTCGCTATTCGTTCTATCCCTGATATGGACGGATTGTTCTTCACAATTGGCCAGGATCGTCAAGTTATTCTCTGGACATATCGTTGTCCGACTGACTTGACATTCATGCTTCGTGTGCCTACTATAGCTGCTGGTATCTCTGCTTTGGCACAGTCGGACCACGGACATGGACCAATTGCAGCAGGCGTGGCAGATGGATCAATTTTATTGTGGCGGCACTGCAGCTCTTTACAAGAAGAATCTTCTTCAACGAACCCGGTGACTTCTTACTGGCCACGTGGTGTGCACGGCAGCTGTGTGACTGCCTTAGCTTGGCATCCTTCAGTTCGCCATGAAAGTCTACTTGCCTACGGAACCGAGTCAGGATGTGTGGAACTCATTGACACATCCAAAATTCCCAAAAGTGCTACTCAGAGGTCGAAAACGCAGCCATATATTTTTGGATCAACCGTCTATCGAGTTGCTTGGGGACCTCCACTTTTCACAGATTCAGGGAAGGATCAGGTTGTTGAAACAGCTGTCTCAGAACACGATGCGAATGGTTCGACAGATAGCACAGATACGGTGGAACAAAAAGACTCAACAAACAAATCCTCGAGTACTCCCAAGTTCTCATCTTATATATACAGCGTATGCAAAGGGAAGATTTTTTGCCACGTTGGCTTCCAGCGACCACCTTTGGATGTAACTTTGAAGTTTCCCTCTGTTCCCGGAATCTCTACAGAGGACTGGGTAAATGACAAACGAACCGACATCGCGTTTTTATACCTGGAGAATTCCACCCGTTCCGTTGACAGTCCTTCTGAAGAGAATGAGATCCGCGAGTGTTTCAGCTGTTTGATCACCGTCGGCTACCGATCTGGGTCGGTGGATGTATACGGACTCGTGAAATCGAAGGAGCATGTATCGGTCGACCTTATTCGACCATTGTGTCGTATTTCTTGTCATACGAAGGGTGTCAATTGCTTGGCTTGGTCCTTTGACCGCTACTGGCTTGCAGTTGGCACTAATGAGTCCTTCATCACTGTAACTGATGTTGGGCACATTCTGAAACAAGCCACGAAACCCAATAATCCCTCTTTCCGACAAATTTCAACTTATTTGGCACATCTGGAGGGCCACGGCAACAGGATCACATGCTTGGACTGGTCTCCGCATGAAAATGGTCTCCTGCTTTCCGCTTCATTTGATGGCACTGCAAATGTCTGGAAAGTAACTCATAGTGACACCGAGTCAGGTTCCACATCTGTAGCGAATTTTCGAGCTCATCGTCTTCGCCTATTTGCCTGTCTGTGGAGTCGTCAGGAGGCGGACCTGGCTTTTAGCGGTGGTGAACTCTGTCACCTATTTAGCTGGCGTCCATCCAAACTCGCACATAAAGAGCCACCTAATTCCCGTCGTTATAGGCCTCCTTCAGTTAAACGTGTGCCCACCGATTCAAAGGATCCCTTAATGCCGTCGGGCATTCTCGAGCCTTCGGCCATTGTTGTCACCTCACAAGAAGTAAATCATACGGAATGTGTACCAGAGCCCATACATCACACTGATACGTCCGTTGGGACAAGTGTCCCACTTGAACTACCGGTGAAATCTGTGACTACGAAAAAACCTGGTTCAGGGGACAAACGCAAGCGACCGTCTTTGTGTCCACATTTTTTGCATCGCGGTTCACTTGAACCAAGTACGACGGATCTGGGATTTTGCCCTCCTTTTCGCCTAGGCTCAAGGTTTCTGCAAGTATCGCACGTACTAAATCTGTTGAAAAACGATGTTGATCTACCTGAATCGGACTGCGATCTTCTGTTCCTATTGCCAGAAACAAACAAAACACGATCAGCCTTGGTGCGATTTTTGACCAGTGAAGCAACTCATCATCTGTCAGCATATCGTGCAACTCAGCGATCTAATGGGCTTATGCATTTGGATGCTTATTGTATCATTCTTCTATGGCTTGGACGTACTCCGTTGGTTGCGCAGACAATGTGTTCTGAGAAACACATGCCCTTTTGGTTGCTTTGGGCAGTTCAATTGGCTCAAACAACCGTACCGGCCTTCTCCGCTCCCCGAAACTCATCAGGTGATCACGCGGATATAGATCTAGCTGGAGAAAAGGTGGGTCTTTGTAAATTTATTTCGTTCTTGTTTTTTTTGTCGTGCTTTTCGTCAGGGTGAACAAATAATCACTAAGGGAAAGCGTATGCATAAGAAAGAAACAGTCTCGCTACAAATTTTCATGTTCATGGAACTTTGCAGGGACCCCAATTCCCTTCCGACCATAGGCGGGATAGTGAGAGTGCTTCGGCCACTCGCGGCTTCGTACATCTATAACTTGAATTTGTCAGGGATTTACCACGGTGGAGGGGCGAGATGGCCCAAGTGGTTTGAGCGGAATTTACCGAACCGGAGGGCCCGTGGTTCGAACCCGACCTCTGCCTCACGACTTCCCCTGTCTAGGCTTGGGCAACCTGGCAGTATCCCAGCCCTTGTACTTTCTCCGGGTGGCATGGCAGATAGGCACCGAAAGGGTGTTACAGCTGAACGATTTTTTTTACTACGGTGGATGCAAATCAAGTCAATTCATCTTGAATGAAGGAGAGTCTGTTGGTGTCAGGTAAATGTGGCATCAACATTTATGACGTCAGCTTCTAGGTATGTCAATTGACCTGAAATTCAAGATCAGTGACAGGAGAATTATAGTTTTAGAGTAGACATTTGAGTACCCGTACAATGCTTGGTTTTTCCAACGATGACAGCAATGAAGAAACTGATTTTCTCATCAGGGGATACTTCTTCCAGCAAAAACTAAGTACTGCCTGCTTGCGGTGGTAATCGGGGTTGTAGACGAGTAGTGACTCAGGTTGACCGGCATCTAGACGACATCGATTGAGGCTTCAGGTTTAATTCCGCTTTCGGTGAATAGCCACCACGCCACCCGAAGAAAATCCGACGGCTTAGATACTGCCAAGTTACCCAAGCCTAAATATGAGCAGTCGAGGTTGGGTTCGAACCATGGACCTTCCAGTCTGTTAGACGAAAGTCAACCAGTAAGTAGAAATAAATGTGCAGTCTAGCAAGCGCAAGATTTATTATACCATAAAGCATAATGAAAAGCAGTTTATCGAAATCAGTGGAACGCCAGTGACAAATTCACCAGATGGTGAGTGTTCGGAGTTCACGAAATTTGGGCAGTATGTGATAAGTTACAAAAGATGTAGGGTAGAGATGAATTAATCTGAATGAGAAGCAAGGAAGATAGTGCGACCGAATCACTGTGAACTGGCTTCAATCACAGACTAACGAATATGGAGTTTTGTCAACATTTGTCCTCCTTTGATGCACGGTACAAACGTTATCTTCGTATAGTCTGTGACCATATTCCTTAGTTTAAGTGGCTGGATTCGAGCGGAGCTTATAGGCACTTCAACCTCATATCACTTTCAAAGCGTGTTCACTAAAAGTGAGGACTGCGTGTTTGTGAATCCATTCATCATTCACGTATGGGTGTTGTACTGTGACACTACGCGCAGCGTTTCTTTGTCACTTCCGCTTGCAGTAGCGGATGACCCTAAATGCTTATTTTCCCCCTTCTGTTGTTTCGCAGCAATTTGTATTTCTTTTCGGTAGTCGAGGTTTTTACCAAGCTCCGGTATTATTTCTTCTGCCTGCCCACCTCACAGGTCAAGGATATGACAAGCAACAGCCCTGATGTTTTGGTGTCTTCCACGTTACTTGTTTGTGCGGGTCGACATCAGGAGGCCGTTGATTACCTATTTGCACAAGATCGAGTGAAAGAAGCCTTGTTGCTTGCACGGCTCAGACTCAGTCCCATGGACGCGAACTCAGCAATGCAGAAGTGTATTGCTCGCATCATCGAACGGCGGTTGTGTCCGGAGGTTCCGTTCGTCAGAGTTTTACATGAACTTGGAGCTGGCGAGTGGGAGCGGGCACAGACAGTTCTACGTCAGGCAGCCGTAGTTTCCCTTTCACGCCAGGACATGGAAGTTGAGCAAGTTGCAAGTAGCTGGGTAGAACTTAATATTCTCCTCAGCTGTCCGGATGACAGTTTACCGACGAATGCGTTTGTTCGATTTGCTTTAAGCTGTCTGGCCGTTGGCTTCCAGTTGCCAGAAGCACAATCCATAGTTTACTTTCAGCGGTGTCAAGAAGCTGTGACTCTGTCAGCTGTCTTGGCTACTGGGACGGATTGCTTTCGACTGTTGTTAAATACTGGCCTTCGGTTTGCTGCTATTCTTACTGGCTCTTCTCAAACAGAACTCGAATTGGATATGGAACTACATGCAGATGTGAGAGATATTGTACACTGTCTTCGCTACGCAACGCTTGATCGTCAGCCAGCGAATCAGTGGTCTGCATGTGCTTCCCAGTTGGCACTTGATTTCACCATTTGCCTTCTTTCATCTAAAAAATTGACGTCTCAAGACCAATCCACTGAGGACCTTAATCGGCTGGAAGCGAGTTTGCGTTTGTGTTCAAAAGTCAATCCCACAAACACACAACAACTCAGTGACCTCCTGTTCCACTCCCAGACTTCTTCGGACCTTGACTCACGTTTGAAGCGGTTACAATCGACTGCGCTCCGCCCCTCAGACAATACAGATGAGCAAATCGGAAACACTTGTCCAGGTTGACGTAAAGTCTGACGTAACTATCTTTTTAAAACGCCAAATTCCGATACATTCACTTGATACTGACCTGCATTTATTGGCAACATGATCTACAAATCGCCTTTTTTCTTTTCCCTCAGTGTCATCGCTCTATGCTTCTTCATTTGCTCAGTTTGGGTATAGCGTGTCGAATGGGGTTTGTTGAGTGGTGTATGTTCATTGGTTGGTTTGACTTATCACGTAGTCGTGGCTTTCCTATGTAGTGGCCTGTGAATGATATCAGACTTAGCAGTGTTAGAAGGCGCGATGTAACTTATTCACTTACCACTCGTGACACAAGGGTTTGTGGTTTGCCAACTAAAATTGAACGTTTTTGGTACAGAATAGGTGATTTAGTTTGTGGTTATGGAGCAGGATCTAGTCACGTTTGAGACAGAAACCAATGATTTCTCATGGCATCTTGCTGAAAGTGTTCTGTTCTCCTTTTAGCCAAACAACAATGCCTTCCGTCCGATCGCGGCGTAGCACATTATCTTACTCCGCCGAACTGGAGCGAGCCGGGATGGCCCCCATTGAAACCCCGATTGAACGCGTCACGGGTTCAACCGTGGTAGACGCTCGAATGTCTAGCGCTTCTAGATTTTGGAATCAGGATAATACACTTGTTAACATAAGAATGACCCCTTTCGGGTAGGTATTTTTTGTGTTCTCTTTTGGTGTTCATCGTTTTTTTGTAATTAAGTTGCCTTGGGAATATAAAGCTCTTTCGCCTGATGGAGTTAGAAATAATCCGATTGTTATGTTATATGGGTTGAGCTAAGAGAAGTTTGTTTCTGTCGGTCTTATTGTACTATAGTCCAGTTTTTCGACCCGGTCCGCGTGCGTGGCGCGCGGTTATTTATTGTGATGCCACCGATGGCCGGGTGGAACACTGGAAGGTGCCCGAACTTAAGCAGGCCTTCCGCCAAAGTATGTCATTCAAAAGTAACCGTATTTGGTGACACTGTGCGGGTGCCCATTATCCGCACAAGCGGAGTAAAGCTTTCTTCGCCAAAATATCTCGTTTTGTTGCGTATGTGCTCAAACCAAAAACCATCCTAATCTACGTTCATATTTTTGCAGCTTACCAAATTTCATTGTTCGCAACCGTTCCTCTGGCTGAAAAGTGGAATAATTTCCCAGCATCGCTGAGACCCCAGGATGCCTAAATGGGGCTCAAAAGTTTGGAATGGTACTCTCAGCTCAATTGCCCGATTACTTTAGTTCATCAGGGACAGATCATAAGTTTCGAAAGTTCAACTCCATTGTGGGAATACTGAGCGGCCACTGTGCGAGAACGGTTTTCTTCCAGTACCAAGTCGCAACACATGTTC